ACACGGAATGGGAATGTCCCTCTGGTGAGGCACAAAACGAAGAGAGACATTCCCGTGACAGATTTTCAATCTCTAAGAACCAGCTGACTTAGCTGAAAAGAAACCAAACTGTTGTTTTCCATAGGAAATCACAGATTTTTATACTTACCTGTTTTTGTCCCTGTTTTTAAACAATGCACACAACGTAAACCTTCCAATCCAGTTCACACATTTTTGAGCTTGAGGAAATGATTCCAGATATAATTTCCCTTTCCACTGCAAAATGGCATTTAAAATACACCAAAACAGTTTTAGAATATACAAGTACAATGGCAGATATTAGCCGGTGGGGTGTGGGAGTGCTCTTCTCCTTCTGTAGGAGACTTTGTCAGTGATTTGTTCTTACTTGGACTTATCACAGGATATGGGATGGGGAGAGATACTTAACGTGCTGTGTAAACAGCAAGGGTAAAGATATACAGCTGGAACTTACATTCACCAGTCAGAGCTGATGTGGTCACTTACAGAAAAGAGAAGAGGTGAAAGGGGAAAACGAAAAGGGGAGTGGAGAAAAGGAAAGGAAAGGAAGAAAGAGGAAAGGGGGAAAGGGGAGAGGGGAAAGGAGAGAGGAGGGAGGGGAAAAGGGAAAAGGGAAAAGGAGAAGGAGAAAGAGAAGGGAAAAAGAGAAAGGGAAAAGGAAAAAGGAAAAAAGGGAAGGGAGAAAAAGGAAAAGGAAAAGGGGAAAGGAGAAAAGGAAAGGGAAAAAGGGGAAAAGGAAAAGGGGAAGGGGAGAAAAGGAAAAGGGGAGAGGGGAAAGGGGAAAAGAGAAAGTGGAAAAGGGAAGTGGAAAGGCAAAAAGATAGGAAAGGAGAAAGAGATGGGGAAGGAAAAAGGAAAAAAGAAAAATATGGAGATAAGCAAAGCCAGGATCATATTATTGCAACACTGCCTGGTCCAAGCACAGCGTCCCCACCTTGCCTTTAAGACATGTTCCATTCTCTGTCAGCAGTGTGAGGGAGAGAAGAGGCTTCCTACACACCTAGGAATGGAATGGGGACATCTTCCCACACCAATGAGAAATTCACACAAGAACCTCTCTGCCCAAAGCGCCCCTAGGAAGCGTGTTCCCAACGGCTGGGAACCTGGGGCAGCTTCCTGCTTTTTACTGCTCCTTTTGGGGGAGCTGCTGTATTCCAGCCCCTGGAGCACCCAGCTTGGGCACAGCCTGGTGCTGGGGGAGGCATCCCAGCTCTGCGCTGTCAGAGCACTGGGCAGTGAGGGGCTCAGCCACTGGCAGCACCTGGCCCTGTATGGACAGACCCGGCGTCAGCAGGTGCCCCATCCCAAGCTGTGGGTTTGTCAGTGCTGCTGAGCCATCCGCCTTGCACCAACCTGTTTTCCATCTCTTATTGAGAACATATGTTCTAAATGATTTCTAATGGCACAGCTGTAATTTGCACATTTGTAATTTTTCCAAGCTGTGCCAAGGGCTGTATCATCTTCTTCATCCACAATGAAAGGAAACCTCTGCTTCCACTGCAGTCACACTGGTACGAGAGCACAGCTGAGACAAGCTTTATTTTCTACAAATCCAAGGCCTATTGGTGAAAGATGGACTGTTGGACTGGACCATCTTTGGCCATCTTTTCCAACTTTGGTGATTCTATGATTCTATGATTTTATTTGTCTTTCCAACCTTACTGATTCTATGATTCTATGTGCAAACAGCCATGTGTTGGGATCAAGCATGAGATGAGGAATAGGGTAGGGTCCAGGGAGTGTATGAGCTCTGAAATAATGGGCAATGATGCTCATTAATGCAATGAGCATCAACCCATGCAATGAATGGTGTTTGTTGATGTGTTACAGTGTGTTTGTTCCTGGGGGCTGGCTATGGGGTTTGATGGCCCTATGATGTCTGTGGGAGGGCTGTGGCACGGTGTTGGGGTAGTGGTGGCAGATATGTAGGGTAAGCAGCTTTGCAGTGAGTCTGCAGGCAGCTTAAATGCTTGGGGACATAGTTTAGTGGGAATGGTGCTAATAGGCTGATGGTTGGACTTGATGATCTTAGAGGTCTTTTCCAACCTTCATGGTTCTGTGGTTTTTCACTGTTCTCATTCAGTTCAGTTTTCGGATACAGAAGTCACAAAGGGTTTTGCTCAACAGACACCATATTGTATGAAGGAAGTTCTAAGTGCAGATGGGGAGAGGGAAATAGAGCTGTTGTTTTCCCCAGTACAAACTCTCCTCACAAAGAATGATAAACCAAACAACCCGGCAAACAACCCAAACTGGCAGAGCTCCAGAGCCATGCTAGCAGAGCTGGTTCCAAAGCAGGGCAGTGCCCACTGCACAAGGGCTGCATTTGCCCTCTTCCTGAAGCAGACGATGCTGCAGCGAGGCCAGGGATGGCTCCCCAGCTGAAGCTGCCCTGCCCTGCCTGGAACAGCAGCCTCCATCACCAAGGCAGCACAGAAACCCCCAGCAGCACTGCCCACACCATCTCTCACTCAGATCTGCAAGTTACTCTGAGTTTAGAGAGCTGACAGTGCCTGGTACCAGGGGGAGCTGCCAGCGTGCCCTTCCCTCCCCTGCACACTACTTCAAAATGTAGCTTGGCATTATCTTGGGGGCGGGGAGGGTTTGCAGAAGATCATCCACTCCTGTTCCAGATGCACCTGCATCAAAGGGTTCAAAGGCTTTTCAAGTCTTTCTCAGGGCAGAGGCCCTAGCTTAGCAGAAACAGCTATTTCCAGGAACGAGAGCAGATCCAAGAGCACTGTGACTAAGGGATAACCATGCGGTGATTCATCAGAATCCCACTGGCTGCCATCTCTGGATTCCCACTCAGAATGGAAGCGGCTCAGAGCTCTTTGCTCACAAGGAAAGGCTGCCTGCACTGTGCCTGCAGACGGGCAGAGCAGCACTGCTGGCATCCCGATCGATTGCAGTGTTAATTATATCCCACCACTGAATTCTCCAGTGCAAAATTTACAAGAGGATCAGATGTCACAAAACTATTTCATTTCAGAAGCAATAAATTGCGCTGCTTTAGCACAATTTCCAGAGCTCCCAAACTCACTCAGCACGCCCAGCCACCACTCCTTAAATGCTTCTCCCGCAAAAGACAAATATGCTTTTAAAATGTCTGACTGTGTTGGTTTAGCTGAATTCAAACAGTAAGGCAGTGAGGTCCTTCCCAACAAGGTACGTTTGGCTCGCTCCAGTCTCAAGCTCAGTTTCCAGCTCTAGCTATGGCTTTCTGACCAACAGGGCTTTGAATGCACCACACAGAAGGCTTCAGATCTTGGAAGGGAAGCAACCACACGCAGCTCCCACAGTCCTAAAAACTGAACACCCCACACAGCTCCCCTGTAATTTTAGCATTGAAGATTTAGCCCCTTGGGAGGTCTCTGAAACTGGCTCAACACAGGAGAATTTTCCCCAGTATCTCTGCAAATGCTCATCACAAACCAGCTAAGCATTCAAAGCAATGTCACGTTTCCCACGTGGTTCTCCTAGAGGAAAGCTGGAATTTCTCAGGTGCCATGAGTTGAGTCCCCCTCTTCTTGGGGTCACTGGGATAAGCCCCACCTCGGCCTTTGCTGCTGAGTGCATCATTGTGGAAAAATCAACATTAGGAAATGAAACAGAAATGTGGTCGCTGGAGGAGCTGCACAGGCAGAACACCCTCAGAGAGAGAAACTTGCATGCTGGAGAGAAGAAAAAAGGAAATGAAGAATAACAAGTTGAGTAAAAGTTATTAAATGCAATACAAGTTTTTTCTAGAAGAAGAATCCGTTCTTTCTCAATGGCAGTAAAAGTCACTCTTTCACTACAGGCAGAAAAGATTGCTTCCATTCTGAGAAATGTGAGTTATGAAAACATCATAGGAAACCTCACGATTTTGCTAATACAGGCTCTATTTCTCAGTGAGTCAGAAGTTCACATTCTTTTAATGCAACCTCCCAACTGAAAACAATCCCCACACTTCAAGCAGAAGAATAATAAAGCACACATATGCTTCTTATAAAGCAATTCTTACAAATAACCATGGCTTTTGTTTTCACAATGGCTAAAATTCATCATACCCCCCCCCCCAAAAAAAAACGCAGATCAAACAAAATGCACTCTCATTAAAATAAAAGGCTTGTTTGCCCAAGCTGAACAGCCAGCTATGTTTTCCTCTTATTTCATTTGTGCTTTTTGTCAATGAGAACGGCAGCCTGCTCACCAGCACCCGCTTTGGGCAGGGTCTTCAATCCCCATCCCAAACCAGAGCACAGCTGGGCACCGTCCTCCACGTGCCGCGCAGCCACCTGAGCAGCAGTGACGTGCAGGCACTGCACTGCATGCAGCAAATGAGCTGAAGGTGCCCAGCACAGCATCTCAGCCATGGGCTCACACACAGACCTGCTCCCAGCTCCCAGCACACAGCTCTCACACTGCCTCATTTTGCATGGGAGAGTGGCAATGCTAAGAGGAATGCTTTCTAGGCAGGTAATGAAATCCAAATTAATGAAAGCCTAAAAATACTGCAAGTGTTAATCCTGTGCAGTTGGCAATGCTTTCCTCATCTGTTACGTGGGCTATGACCTCAATATCAAGGGTTATTAGGCACAAAGATAGCAAAACTGACCCTGGCCCAGGAGAATGCAGAGCTGCTGAGCGATGGGAGCTGGGGCGCACGCAGGATGGAGGCACTCCCTCATCCCGTTCAGATTCTTTCCCCCCTTATTGGAAGAAGAAAACAAATACTGCCCAGAATAACAGGGAGGGATTCTTCCATCTCCTCATTTTTTGGCTAGTCAGTGTCTGCTGGAGCAGCAGCAGACTGAACGACAATTTAGGAAGGAAGCATTGGAGGCAAAGCGCTATCATCAAGCTAAAAAAATAACATTTTTTCACTTCCAGACATATCTGGAAATCCCCAACTTCTAAACCTAATCAGCCCAAAAGCCTTTAACCATCTCTTCCAAATCTGTTTCCATGAAAAAAAAAACAACACCAGTAGCAATATCAAGAAACACCAGTGCAAGTTTTGAAGCCCTCTGGTTTTCTTTTTAGAGCAGTAACCTCCATTCTGCCGCAGGGGGGGAACGGGCTGCCATTTTCAGTTGTGAAGGCTAACACTAAGGAAGCTGTAAATTGTTTTAATTACTGGCAGATACCCTTTTTATGGTCCAGGAGAGCTAAGAAACACTCGTGGCTGCTGCTCAGCTCAGCCTGCCCTTAGAGAAGGGACTGGTGAGTTACACACCGACTCAGCTGACGAAGGACTCAACACGACCAGCTACGTGTGCGTGCAGCCCAGAAGGCCAACCAGGTCTGGTGGGAGGTTTCTCTGCCTACAGTAGGGGGTGGAAATAGATGATTTTAGAGCTTCCTTCCAACCCAACCCATTCTATGGTTCTGTGATTCCATGACTCGTGCAGCCAAGACAAAAGCAAGCCAACGAACCCCGTTTTCCAACCAAAAGGCTCACCTACAGCATATCAGGTCATCTCTGAGATTAAACATGAGGATGCTGCCATAATGATGCTCTTAAGCTTCAAGAGGTTTAGGTAAAGGCAAATGAGCCTGGAAGAGACACATCCCATGGCCACGGGATGATGAGTCACTACCCCACAGACTGCGCCTTCCCAGTCCTTTGTATGGAGGCTTTTCCTGGGAAAACCAGCACAGCTCGATGACTCGCTGATGAACTGCTGGTTCAGTCTGAAGTGAAAATCAATGATCCATAGTCAGTATTTAAGATCCATCACAAAATCTGTTTTCATCTCTGGCTGGACAATGTGATCACTCCAAACAATCTACCAGTTACACCTGAGAGACCCAGCCTGAGCCTGAAGAACACATCAGCTTTTACACTGGCGTTTCAGAAGCATATTGAAACAGAAAGGCACTTTGTTGATGCCTGTTACTAGCTGAAACCATTCAGATCACCAAAAAAAAAGTAATTAGTTTTAAGGAAGCTTTGCTCTAAAAGCATCCCAAGGAGATTTAATTGTTTTTAAAAATAGAAATAGACAGTTTGGCATGTTGAGAGCTGATGTTAGCAATGTACTCAGGTTGTGTGGTTAATGCATGGGTAGAAACACCTGAGGCACTTTTGGTGCCCCAACACAAAGACTCAGCTCTTAACTGAAAAAGTCAGTGTGTTTTAATCTGTCCCAACCAAATGGTATCGACGTATTTCAGCTAGAGCTTTAAACCTAAACATCTTGAGGCTTAGGAATTTAAGAACACATCATATTTTGCCAGTTATTGCTTTTATTGAATCTGAGTCTCACAGCTTTCCAATATCAGTACAATGATTCCTCTTCAACTCTCCATCCAGCATGCATTACAACACAAACCTTCCCCGTGAGTTGAAAAATGAAACAAAGTGAAGAAAAGCTTAAATGTGCAACAGATCCTAATGTCTTCTCCGCAAGTGCACGTGTGTTGCTACCTTTAACAAACCTGCTGAGAGGAAAAGACACGGAAAAGTGAAACTAATGTCTCTGCAGTTCTTACATTCAGTGTTTTTGTAGATGCATGAGAATCCTGTATGGTGCTTCAGCCCTTACTGATTCCCACATCTGCAAGCTGAACAGCACCTTCTGGGAGCTTCACCTTGTCCATGCTGCTCTCAGACCTCACAACTGCCCCTGATCCAGAGCCAGTGCCTGGAGAGAGGCTGGAAAGCAGCAGGAGAGGGACAGGGACCTGAGGGCTCTGGGGACACTCACTCTGGGTGAGTGTGAGCAGCTGTGTGTCCTGGAGCCCAAAGGGCCAAATGAGCCCTGGGGTGCCTCACCTCGAGCGCTGAGTGCAGCTCTGAGTGCTGGATATCAGAAGGACATGAAGCCATCGGAGGGACTCTGAAGGAGAGCTGCAGACATGGAGGGCAGGGTGCATGAGCAGCAGCAGAGGTCCCTTGGCTTGTTTGAGCCTGGATTTCGGTGGTCCTGTGTGGAAACGGGTTGGACTAGGTGATCTCTGTGGGTCCCAACTCGAGATATGTTATGATTCTGTTGTTCTGTGATTCCAGACCAGCAGATCCCAGCTCTGCCCTCCCCTCAGGCTGTGGTTTCTCCAGGCAAAAGCCCAGGCCCCAGCACTGTGCTCCTCCAGCCCTGCCTGGCTGTGGGGATGGGCTGTGATCTGCAGCTGCATGGGTCAGGAGTAGGCATCTGTGATCCAGACTCCAGATTTGCTTTAGGTACTAATTTGAAGTAACTTTTTAACTTTCCTTCACATTAAATATCATGTAATTAAACTGAAGGAGGAGAAGACATGTTTGTCCAGGCTGAATCAGGCTCTCCATATGCAGAATGCAATTAATCTTTCATTCATTTTGAAGAAAATAATGGTAAAAGTACTTCCTCTTCTTCTAGCTAATTAGATCTCAGGGTGTTACATTAGAACACCTCCAGCACTAACAGTTACAGCCAGAAAAGCAAGGACTCTTCAGATAATGTGTTCTTCAAGTGCATATTTGTTCCCTTCGCTGCTTTCAGAAATGTCACCCTAAGGTGCCAGGCACTCTTCCCATTCCTCTGGAAGGTTCCCTTGCTGTGGGATCTGTTCCCTACATGCACCAAACTCTCCTCCGTGAGACTGCCATACGCATTTCAGTAACCCAGAGCTAGCCTTGAGTTTGCAGTGTTTCTAACAATAGGTACAAGGCAGAACAAAAGACATCATGGCTACTTGAGATAAAAGTAGGGATGGGCATTCATCTGCAAAATTTCTAAGTGTTCCCTCTTCAGTAAAAATAAAATCATTGAGAGGTCCCAATATATACAGCCTGCAAAGCTGCAGCTCTTGGGAGGTTAAGTAGAAAAGAAAGGATACCTGACAGCTACCACCAGCGTGTTTGAAGAGATCTGCTGGTTTCCATGGTAAATGGGGAGGGCAGCGTGACTGCCTGGTTACAATGATGACTGACGCACATCTCAAACAATCGTTCTCTTCCTGTTCGTATGACATAAGAAAAACAGGATGCTGAGAGGTGTTTATCTGAATGCACAAGATAAGCACGCTCACAGACATTTCGAAAAGTGTAAGATTTAACTAACTAGATGCTAAAGATTTTCTATGGGAAAAAAAAAATCCAAATGCTGAACTGCTGAATGTGATTAAATTATGCATGGAAAGATCCTTTCCCTCCTAACCCGCAGGAAACAGTGAAGGAGCTGTTATATGAGCCCTGCATACCAATGGAAAGTCTTTTTAGAGCGAGATACTGAGTTACACTGCTGAATCAAAACTGAGAAAAACAGCTTAGTCTGCAATGTCCTGCAGCTTCCAAAGGTCTGTGCTCATTGCAGGCACTGCTGATGGTGGGGGCACTGTCAAGTGGGGCACTGTGAGGTGCTGCTGCTACCCAGGGAAGCCAGGCTGGACTACAAAGCAGTTTGTGGCTCTGGGCACTATTTTGAAGGATTTCTCAGGCCCATGGGCTTTCAGTCCACCTACATAACCATCATGGGTACTACAGAGCATTTCAGAAGTCCATCAGTGCCTTAGCATGTCTTGTTGCCATTCCAAGAGTTCAGGAACTTACACATCAGAATGGCAGAGCAGAGCACGGTGCTGCAGGCACTGCTGCCCACGAATTAGGACAAGCTGGTACAGCCAAGTAACACGCTGCAACCTGCGGCACAAAACAAGCACATGTCCAAAACACAGTGATGTCCTACAGCAGGCTCTGCAGCAGAAGACGGGTTCTGGTCATCACATCCACGCTCTTGTCACCTGCATGCATGGGCAACATGCTGGGCTAGAAGCCTGCAGCTCTAGGGCAAATGAATAATACCGAAACCAAGAACTGATTGAGCAACGCTGCTGGGTTTCCAAGTGTCAGCCCACAGTTTGTTTAACACACCATTCCTCTTCAGCTGGGAAAAGAGGAAAACTCCCAATGGGCAGTGAGAGAGGATGAGGTATACACAGACACAGGTATGTTAGAAAAACCTACAAGAATTCCAGCCCACAATGTTATTTGTCAGCTGCCATCCTGCTGTGGTATCGCGAAGAACAGGGTGTTCAACAAGGAACATGGAAGAGTTAAGCGAGCGGCTGGGAGTGGGACATCCCTCTGTGTTGTAGGAGACATTTGGCATGTGTAAACCACTCAGAATGGTTTATATGGAGCCAAACAGAAACTTAAAGAGATGCATAGCTTGATCCAGCCCAACTTCCTGAGGGTTCATTCCTCTTAAGGAACTGCCATGGACTAGGGTTCAAGTCCCCTCAGTCTTTAGCCTCGCAGTAAAATTTATACAGCCAAATTTGGGGGTTTGGGCTGTCCAGGAATTAGCTGAAGTGGGGAAGTTCAACAGTCTTTCACACATTCATTTATTCATAGCTTTGCCTATTTAAGATGCACATTTAATGTAAAATACAATAATCATTAAGGCCTTTTGCATATTCCATGGAAGCACCAAACTGTACACTGCACTTCTCCAGTCCTTCAAAAGCAGTTATGTCACTGTACACTGTTAGAGACTGACACTAAAGATCTGCTTTTAACAACAGTTTGCCTTACATCAGCCACCACAGACCTTTTGGAGCATAAGAATGATGCGATAAAGTATAAAAAAACTTAAAATAAAAATGAGTACAATCACATTCTGAAGTGAAGGATGATAAATATATAGACTGTAACAGTAGGCAGTGGGGAGGAGGAGGTAGACTGGGACAGCTCTCCAAGGAGACCACAATGCAGTTGGCCAGGGATTAACACAACCAAGTGCCTGCACATAGACACAACAACTCGATCTCGAGAAGACATCACACAGTGTGAGATGTGACTGGACGTAATGCTTAGCTGCAATAGTTCTTTGTGCTCTTTAGAGCATCTTCCATCCAGGAGTTGCAACAGAATTTATGAACCACGATGGCTTGTGGCTCGTCCAGGAGGGAAGGCGATGGCACTGAGCTGCTGGGAGCACCAAAGCCAGTGCATTAGGATGTCTGCACTGGCTTTCTTGGCAATGCAGAAACAACACCAAGCCCTATCTGAGCAACCTACCACGCTGTGCATGAGTTTGTGAGCTGCAGTCACCTAAAATATTTTCTATGTGGTTGATCTCTTCCACTGCTATTTCTTTAAAAGACATTTGAAATAAACATGTTTGAAACCTCCCTGTAAGACTTGCAGGCAGCCAAGAATTTCTGTCCCTACTAATATCCGTTACAGTACTTACTGTGATCACTTGAACACTCTCTTGCAGGGCCCACAACAGGCAGGCTGGAACTAGATGTTCTCCAAAGTCCTCTCCAATTGAAGCTATTCTCTGATGCTACCAAGCAGCAGTGCTCAGTGAAGCAGCATCGCAATGACTGCCCAGAAATGTGTATTGCTTAGGAGACAGTGGGCCCTCACTGTTCGTATTTTTCCTTTTCTACCTTGAGCAGGTGTCAGCCTCCTCAACCAGCTGCCCTTCAGGCCATACATCACCATTTACAATGCTGGTAGGTGCTGGGTTTCCCGCACGACTCCTGGCTGCCCAGCTCCCAGTCCCCCACGGAAGGCTCAGACCTGGGTAGGGGCCACAGAGGCTCCACGACCCCAACAGCCATGCCTGGAGCTGCCACACCTCTGTGTCTCCTCTTGCCCACTGGGATTCCAGCTGCAGCAGCCCCGTCTTCTCACAGCTACCAAAAAACCAAAACCAGAAAGCACACCACAGTCAGGAATTCAATTCCATGACAAATCAGTTCTCTCTGAGAGCAGGGGAAGTCCTTCAGGAAAAAACAGATGAGTTTTACTACCTGTGAGAAGACGCACTGCAGAACACTTCTGTGTGAGAAAGCAGACTCCTACTTACGTTTATGTAAATGTTGTTTGCCCATTTGGTGCACATATTTAAGTCAGTATCAAAGGAACAGAATGGGAACCCACTCATTGTCTCTGGCTTGGCTGGCTTACAGATCAGCTCCCAGCCTTTAATTCTAGGAAGTGAGTGACCGCGAAGACTGCTGACAACCAAAGGCCCCCTCCTGCAATCCGATGTGCTGTTTGTCTTGGAAGTAGCCAGGTTAACGCTGCCCCATTCAGCCTGCAAGGGAATGTGGGGCAGACAGAAAGACGGACAAAGACATACAGAGAGACACTGGAAAGCACTGAGGGACAAAGACGGGCGGTGGGATGAAAGCATGGAACGAAGGCAGGACCCAGCCAAGCCAAACAACGTTTTCCTTGAGTGATTACATCTGCTGGAGAGTCCCCAGCTTGCACTCTCCTTGCTGAGAAATTCCTTTAATTGTGTCTAGGACATTTTAAAAATCCCAAGAAAAGATCCGCTGCAATCATGAAAGCCCTGAACTGCATGAACTTTTGTTATGCTGAATACTGAGAGCTTGCTACATACTTGTTGAAGTAAAAGCTGAAATTTGCTTTGCAGAAGATTTTTCTGAGGTAGAACTCTGCAGAGTGAAAATTGGTAATAAATCTTCGTTTCTTTTTCACAAGAAAAAAACAAACAACCTTTGAAAAATTCTTCCCCCTCCCAGTGTCAGGATAGCCAAGTAGAAAGAGCATCTGGAAGAAAATGAAAAAAGACACCTCCCCAGATTAGGCAAAATTAAGTGAGCTTACACAATTGGGCTAAAGGGATGCTCTGCAGAGGCAAAGGCTCTGTTCTGACCTCTGGCATTGCTCCTGAAGGCAGCAGTGCCAGCAGCTCCTCACTGCATGCTGTGGGCTGGAAGTGCCCAGCAGCACACCGACCTCCACACCCGACAGCCACAGCTGGTTGGTTTTATGCATGGAAATCAATACCTGCAAGCCCAAAAGTCAGCTTAATACTAAGTGCTAAGTCCAGCAAAAGAACCACCATTCTGTCCTGATGGGAGCACTTCTGGGCTTACCTGAATCTCACTCACTCAATGGGTCCAGCTCTCTCTTCTGCAGCAAACCTCCCTCACCTTCAAGCCCATTCTCCCACCATTAATTTGTCTTTCACCACTCACTGTGATAACTAGAAACACCAGAGGGTTGACAGACTCAAGTACCTCTTATTTCACCTCTAAATATATAAATACCTGCCTACATCCAAAAATACAAGCATTTACATCTCAGGCAACAATGATTCTATGATTCTGACAAGATACTTGCATTCACCAGATTTGATGACCAGGAAAAGAAAGGAGTCATTACAAGATGCTGCAAAGAACAAGGCTCAATGTTAAAAGACAATGGAAATCACAGAGGTGTGCAGCTGGCCCCACAACCGCATGTTCCACCCTGCCATGATGTGACACCACAAAGGTGAAAGCGTGTCTTGGGGCAACATCAACAGCCACACAAAGGTGTGCTTTGGCACACACACGTATCCCAAGTATTTTCAATGTGTGTTTGCTTGTACCTCACCCAGCACACCTTACATGAGCTGGTTCCACCCAGGCTGCTGGCACAAAGACATAGCAGATAGTGGTACATGCTCCCCATTGAACTGCAGGGTAGGTAGATATCACGCTGAGGTTTGTGTTCTCTACCATGCAAAAGGTGTGGTGCAAAGTTCAGATAACCCAGACCCAGTCACAGTCAGCAGCTCTAAAAGCACAGCAGCACGTGGCCAGGCTGACACACTGCAGCACCGTCATCTGCTGCAGGAGCTGCAAGTGCTGTTGAAAGGATGCAAATGCAGAGAGGTCAGGATCATCCAGGTTTATTTTCTAAACAGTATGTGTTAAGCAACTTTAAAGCACTTGTAAATAGCACCTGCGTCCTTAAAGTAGGCAGCCTTCCCAGGCAGAAGCCCCAGGCTCTGCTCCTCTCCTTAGGAAGCACAGCCAGGATCATGCTCTTCAGGAACTCCAGCTCGATATCCACTGGACAGCATTTCAGCAGTGAGGCTGAAGGGAGGTTCAACAGATAGAAGCTCTAGAAGCTGTAAGGGAATGAGCACCATTCATCCTACCATACTGCTAGCCAAAAACGTGGGAGGCAGGGAGCCTGACCTGAACCCGTGAGCCCAGGGACCCACAGTTCTCTGGCCCCTGACCTCTACCAGAGGGCAGGGGGAGCACACAGTTTGATGGGCAAGGCTGTATGAGAACATCAGCTGCAATCATCTCAATCCTCAGAACTGGAAAGAGTTTCCTAAAAACAAGCGGTCTGTCAGGGACAGAGGTTGGGTTTTTGTTTAATGCTTAGTTACCCACTAAGGCAAAAACAAGAGGCTACGTTCACTTCCAGTAACTGTCGACCAAAGTGGAAAAGGAGTATTTAACAATAAAGTGCAAGAGTCCATCATGAGTAATGGCGACCCATGTGCTTTTATGAAACAATAACACACCAACATAAAATAAATCAGTGCTTTTTAATTTAACAATGTAAATTACCCTCCCACCTGCTGTGAATCTCGCAAGGAGAAAGAGCAGGCTGCATATTTACCAAGCTGTCTATCCCCGTCTCAGTCTGTGCTGGCCTAATGCCCTGGGGTTAGACTGTAGGACTCTGTCATCTCTTGCACTCGTATGACCTAAGAAAGGGAATGTGGCCTTTTTCCCACAAGCCCAGAGTGAGAACATCATAAAAGCTGAACTTTAGCCCCCTTTTTGGGCAGGCAGCACAATAGCAAGGAGGATGCTGTTACTCCCTGGAGGCTCTGCTGCTGAAAAACATCACCAAGCTCAAGTAAAAGGTCAGTAGTTAGGATTGCATCGCTTGTTTTCTTCAGTTTTCCTCCTCCGTCAAAGGCAGTTAAACATTCTTTGCACACCCCCCTCCCTCCTTCTGAGAAATGCAGGAAGGAAGTGCTTGCAAAATAGTTTAATTTAAAAGAATGCACAATCACACACAGCAAACATGGCTTTAGTCTCGGAGCAGAACACTTCCATTGCCCCACGGTTCCCACTAAAACACAAACGAGTCCCGCAGCAGCACGGCCATCCCTCCCTCCCTCCCCACACGAAGGGAGGCCGCGTTTTACTCCCAACCCCTTTTGTTAAGGGGCAGACACCTTGGGTGTGAAGACGTGCACTAAGTGCCACAGGCCCCTCTGCTCCTGCAGGTTCCTTAGGACTTCCATCCAGTGACCCAGGGCTGTGGAGATGGACAAAGCGGGCGCAGAAAGCCCCGGCAGCTCTCATCATGCTGCAGTGGCAGCAGGTGGCAGGAGCAGGGATATAGCACACATCCCTGTAACTAATCACCTCTGATTCATCAGCACTGAGAAGTGCCCCTTTGATTTCACAGCTCAATTTTCTGCCAATGTTTGTTACTCGCACCTGGCTGTGTGGGCTGCTGGCTTTAAGTGCATCCTTTGCCTCCCTTGAATCTGAAAGGGGCAGAGTGGGAAGATGCGGCTCTTATACTTCATCCTTTTCTGCAAAGAGGAACACAGACACCAGCAGGCAACCCGGGGAAAACTTCTTTGTTATCACTTTATGCCCCAGAGCTCCGTGTCAATCTCAACACAATTCTCTCAGTCAAAGGGGGCAAACAGCACTGCCACCACAAGCCTATTTCTTTGACTTCTCAGAGGCATTCTGCAGCGAGGGTTTGCTTCCCTTGAGCCATGCTGGACACCAGTACCCAAATGGGCTTATGACTTCTCCCTGCTCTCCTCCAGCCTCCATGGCCATGATCTCTGGAAATAAACACTCTGTCCCTCACAGCCCCTCTGAGCACAGCACCACTTTGGCTCGGTGGTTTGAGCAGATCCGATCGTGTTACTGCTGCCCCGCGTTCCTCGCATTGCTGAGCTAGCATGCGGTGGATTGATTTCAAGTTGGCCCTCCTGTACTTAAGAGGGACGCTGTCAGCCCCGTCTCATTTTCATTTAACCCATTGCTGTTATAGGACACGGCTAGATGAGAAAGGTAAGAGACTGGTGAGTGTAGGAACTGAGCAGAACTGCACCCGCTGCTGCTGGAGGGGTCTTCTTCCTCCAAAGCGGACAGCCAGAGGTGGGCTCACAGTAAATGACTTGCTACAAGGACATTAAGAAATTTTGCTGTCAATGTGAACTCTTTCCCATGTCTAATCAAACAGCTTCCTAAAGGGGAAGAATGATACTTTTATTAAACAGTTTGTGGATTTGACAACCTCATTTCCCTGTCTGGGGACTTCATGTCTAAGGCAGAATCTCAAGCTTTGGGTGCCCGGTTTTGCTCTGTTGCCTTTAAATGATGGTACAGCTTCAAACTGACAGCACCTTCTCTCAGCCTTAACTGGGGGGAAATCTGACTTCTCTTAGTTTCAGCCCTTTGCCCTGATGGAGAAGGGTTTTGTTTGCTTATTTCTGCTATTGTTTTTACAAACACACAGCTATTACTGATCCTTACCACCTCCCCATGCCCAGCCCATTTTACCTCCTTTTTCAGTTGGTGTTATCCATGCCCATTTTTAGTAGACTTAAAAATAAATGTTAGCATTTCAGAGATGCCTTCAGATTTCAAACAAGGACTGCACAGTGCTGTGTTCTCCAAAGACCTTACACAAGAAATAACTCCCATCCCACAGAGCATCTAAAGGCATGTAAGGAGCTTACTCCCCACCCACCCGCTACAAGCCCAGACGAAGGGCAACAAAAGAAAGAGTCAGAAGAAAGGGAATGGCACAGCCCCAGCAAACACATCTGGCTGCACAGAAAGGTGCTCCTGCAGGTAGCCAGCATGGAGCTGGGCTGGTTTCAGACTCATAAAGCTGTTAAGAATTACCCACAGTTTTTTACATAATAGCACCAGCTGCACTGAAAGGTGTTACCATACAGCTGTCACGTAAGCCAGTACACAGAGAGGAAATTTCAAGGTGAGTTGTAGATTTACCATTAAGCTGGACTCTTGAGATGAATGTTACCTCAGCTCTCCAATGACACGGGGACACAAACAGGGAAATCTTGGAGGTGTACTGACACCATGATCATGTACCAGTGCTGTGCTTAGCTGACACAGAGGGCTCAGGCACGGAGTGCAATTCAACACAGGCAGCATCCGTATGGAGCGAGGAAGGCAGACACTTGCTTTGATGGCTGATAGCCCTCCTTTCCTTCAGTCACAAGCTCAAACCAGTTCCCTTGCTGTTGGATACCAGCTGTGGGAGGGAATTTTGGAGCACTTCACACCAAAGAGCAATTGGATGGCTTCAACAACATCTACAGGAAGATGCAGGGTACATGATAACACAGCCAGAGCTCTGACCATGTGCCTGCCCACCTTTAGACTAACCTAGGTGTTCAGCCTTACATACATCATTCAGACTAGATGTATAGGGAAAACTGAACCTCCAACATTGGAACTTTGCTTCCCAATCAAGTTAAGACTCCAGATACTCTGTGACATCCAGTAATTCTGCAGGATTATACAGCTGCCTTGAGAGATGTTCCAGTGAGTGCATCATCTCCTAACAGTTGATGTTTGCAGGCATGACTGTTGCTATCAGAAACAAAATGAAATTCCCAGCTCAAA